TAGTAAAGATCAAGAAATAGTTCAGCAAGGTGGAGATTGTTATTATTTTGTGGGCTGCCTCACTATTTCTTGCCGGCCGAAATGTTTGAGTAAACTTGGGTCCATTATATTCCCGGGTTGCTAAAACGTGTTTTACATAGAAGAAGCGTGAATGCCTCATTTAAAGGGGGTAGAGATCAGTCGTCCACGTGGCTGAATCTCGTCCCTTGGTATGTGATGTTTTGCTGTTCAGATACTTAACTTGGTTTTGGCCCTAATTCCAGTGATGATACCGTGTGCCCTTTCGCCTGTTTTTCTTCTCTATGAGTGAAAGATTAGGGTTCTTCGTTTCTTTACTGTAAATCCAAATATTCTTGGTGTTCTTCTCAATCTGATTTCTTAATGATGTAGTATGATTGTTGTAGTACAGTTTATTAGTTATTGAGAGGTTGTTTTGGGTTGTTCAGTGTAAAGAGGCGAAAGAGAACTCGAAGAAACCCTTGGTTTCTTCGTACATTTGTACTATTCTCGATTGATACTTAGTGGATCTTGAGCTTTATTACCTTTTGGTGATGCTCAATGGGTGATTAGGCCGAAAGGTTGAACATCTGGGCCCTTTTTAGAGCGAAACATATCTTTGTGTTCGATCTTTATTGTTTTGTTATTTACAATTTTTTGCAAAAATAACCGATCCGATTTCGACTCTTAGTGATTCGATTTAACATACTAGAAGTTAATTTTGGAGGTTGTTGCATTCTAGAGTATAGGATGTTTTGTATTAAGAAATTGGGAACCACAAAAGAAGGAGAAAATTGAAAGATTTGGAGGGCTAGTTAATGGAAAAGAATTTGGATTGTGCGGAATTAGTATGACTGTTATAAAAGTGAAGAAAAAATAACAGAATAGAGAGAAGTCAATAGACTGTGCAGAATCAATACGGCCATATTATTGCAGAATAATCATTTTTTTGGAAATGTGCCAAATGGCTAACTTTTGTTTACGGATTGTTACCTTTTTTTTTCAAATTTGTCATTTTTTAAGTGACCAACATTACATTTTAAGAATAATAAAAAAGTGACTCTCAACTTTACATAATGAATTTTTACTTCTTCTTTTTCTCTAATCTTTTTGAAGTTTTTTTCAATTTTATGAGCAACAAATATCACTTTTTTTAATAAAAGATTGTAAAACACTTTTCAATAAAAAAAGTGACACTGAGCTTAAAAAAATGACATCTTGTAACTTTTTTTTTAATAAAAAAAAAGATATCGTGTCACTTTTTTCTTTTTTAATTTTTGTTACCTTTTTCAATATTTGTCACTTTTTTCTATCGCTTTCTTGAATTTCTATTTCTTTTTAAGTAACAAACACCACTTTTTTTTAATAAAAGTCAAGCTCACTTTTAAATAACAAACATCACTTTTTAAATAAAAGTGACATTTCACTTTTTAATTAGAGAAAGTGGTATTTCATTTTAGGGGTATTTTTGTAAGTTGTCTCTTTTTTTGTTTTTTTCCTTTTTTCAATCTAGCCCAAAATCCAAGTTAATATTAAAAGGGAAAATTTCATAAATGAGAGATTAATTATGCTACATTTCAAAAATAAGAAAACAAGTTTCAAAAACCAGATTTTTATTAAAGAATAATTTATAATTTAATTAATTAATTAATTATTTTAGTAATTAAATATATTTAGGTCACGGATTTATATAATTTGGTCACAAATTAACGATTTGATTTGTTACTCATTATTTTTTGGTCACAAATCAGAATTTTTATGTCACAAATTATTTTACGGTCACAATTCAAAAATTTTATAGGTCACAATTAGTTCATCGGTCACAAATTGAAAATTTTTTAAGTCACGATTTATTTACTGGTCACATATTACAAATATTATAAGTCACAACTTATTATACAATCACAAATTATCAAATTATCGATCACAGATTAACAATTTTTTAGGTCACACATTATTTTTCGGTTATAATTTATCTTTTTCATTGGTCACATATTATTTATTGGTCACAGGTTAACCAATTTAATGGTCACAACTTATCAATTAATTGGTCACAGCTTATTTTTCAGTCACAAATCAAAATTTTATAGGTCGCATTATTTTTCGATCACGGTCGTCACAGTAAAAATTTTTATAGGTCACGAATTTTTCATTGGTCACAGAATCAAAATTTTATTGGTCACAACTCATTCATTCATTGCAAATTATTAGATTAATTAGTCATGATTAATTGTTCGATCACAACTTAATCAATTGTGAGTTACAGTCACAATTTTTAGGTCACATATTACAAATTCCTCAATTGTTAGTCACAATCAATCAAATAATTGGCCACAAACATCGAATACCATTTCTTCCCACCGACGACCATCGTCGTGATTGACACATCTACAACCACTATCACCATTATCACCACCATAACAATGGAGTACTGCCGCCAACAAATCCACCACCACCTCATAATGACTAGTCAACACCACAATACACTAACAAATTCATCACCACAACAGAGAAAACGGCGCCAACCAGAGCCACCACCACTAGAGCCATGCCCACCACTGCAGGACAACCGATCGACATCACTGACATTGCTAGAGCCACCACCATGTCGACATTATCATCGCACACAACACATCATACCCACAGCACCACCACCTAACCACCGCACCGCACACAACACACTGTACCCACAACACCACCACTGCAATAGCACTCGCCTGTACCACTTGGTCGATTCAATAGAGCCTCCACCAATCCACAACCTACACAACCATTAACACCACCGCTAACACAACCAACACCACATCTACTTCAAATCTAAAATCAAACAAGTCACAACTTATTATACAGTTACAAATTATCAAATTATCGGTCACAGATTAACAATCTTTTAGGTCAGACATTATTTTTCGATCATAATTTATTTTTTTCATTTGTCACATATTATTTATTGGTCACAGATTAACCAATTTAATAGTCACAACTTATCAATTAATTGGTCACAGCTTATTTTTCAGTCACAAATCAAAATTTTATAGGTCGCATTATTTTTCGATCACGGTCGTCACAGTAAAAATTTTTATAGGTCACGAATTTTTCATTGGTCACAGAATCAAAATTTTATTGGTCACAACTCATTCATTCATTGCAAATTATTAGATTAATTGGTCACGATTAATTGTTCGATCACAACTTAATCAATTGTGAGTTACAGTCACAATTTTTAGGTCACATATTACAAATTCCTCAATTGTTAGTCACAATCAATCAAATAATTGGCCACAAACATCGAATACCATTTCTTCCCACCGACGACCATCGTCGTGATTGACACATCTACAACCACTATCACCATTATCACCACCATAACAATGGAGTACTACTGCCAACAAATCCACCACCACCTCATAATGACTATTCAACACCACAATACACTAACAAATTCATCACCACAACAGAGAAAACGGCGCCAACCAGAGCCACCACCACTAGAGCCATGCCCACCACTGCAGGACAACCGATCGACATCACTGACATTGCTAGAGCCACCACCATGTCGACATTATCATCGCACACAACACATCATACCCACAGCACCACCACCTAACCACCGCACCGCACACAACACACTGTACCCACAACACCACCACTGCAATAGCACTCGCCTGTACCACTTGGTCGATTCAATAGAGCCTCCACCAATCCACAACCTACACAACCATTAACACCACCGCTAACACAACCAACACCACATCTACTTCAAATCTAAAATCAAAGCCACCACCACCAAATTCACCCTAGATCCACATCAAATCGTCGTCTGCAGCCGTCGAACCATCTTTCCTACAATCGTGAGCCGATTCCTTTGAGTCGTTGCCGTCGCCAAGACCTCCACGACCACCACCTGTTGAGGTTCACGGTGATGCAGTGCCTACTGAAATCGAGGTTCCTCACACGCTATGACGCATCGTCGCCTAGTGGTGTGACCACCGCTGTAAATTTTGCTCGACCATGATCTTCCAGCTACCGTCTTCCATCGATGGTGAGATTAGAGAGAAGGTAGAGAGGTATTGAGAGAAGGGGGAATTGGGAAGAGGGGAGAGGAAGAGAGAGAAAATGAGATAAATGAAGACCACCTGCTGATAGATATAGAGAGAGAAAATGAAAGGGAAGAATGAAGATAAATTTAGGGTCTAGTAGGATGAATATGTATATTTAATTTTGTAATATAATTATTAATATTTAAAATATATTAATTAATTAATAAAATATCTGATTTTTGAAAGATTAAAGTTCCCGTATGATTTTAGAATTCATGATTTTAATGTTAGAGTTTTGTGTGATTACCGCATTTCAAAACTGGTTTAGACCCATGAGATTTGACCACTTTAGGGATGACCCAATTGTTGTTGCTTCCCAGAAGAGGTCCAATTGTTGTCTCCCTTGGTTCAGAAACCTCAACTATATATGGCCAAAGAAACCTCTCCTTTTATTTTAAAACTTTTTTGCTTGGATCGCGAGTAGAAATATGACATGTTTTTCATATTATTACGTCTTTTCATCTAATTAGGGCCCGTTTGGATGACTTTTGAAAAGTTAAAAGAAGCTTTTAAAATCCAAAAGCTACTTAAAAGCTTCTTTTGAACGTTTGACTAATTTTATGAAAATATTTACTCTAATTGGAAGTACTTATAGAAGAAATCGATCCCATATGACTATTTCTAAAAACACTTTTGAAATAAAAAGCTCTTTTTAATTTTTGAATAAAAATTAAGGCAGCTTCCTTCAAAAGCAAAAGCAAGAGTCATGCCAAATCCTAAACATAACAAATTTCCTGAAAACTCATAAAACCTCGATCATTTTAACTTACCATAATATTCTTCCATCCATTCATGGAATGAAGACGGGATGAACCCTTTACATCGCCAGCTAAACAAATTTTATCCTATGTTTGTCAAAATACCGGTGTATTTTAAGATCAGGAGCTGTCAGGTGAACTGAAATTCGACAAGAAAAAAGCAAATAAAAATTATAATGCCATAGAAATTACTATCATACATAGAATAGCAATATCAGGTTTGCAAATGAAGCAACCAAGATTCTTAGTTGTGACGAGCAAAATGTGCTGACATTATAAAGAAAGATAGGTAAGAGATTGGCAAACAGCAAAGGTTGTATTTAAACAACCAAGCGCTTCGAATAGTATTGAGGAATCTTAATGATAAGGGACTCCAAGTAGTAGTAACTAAAGAACATACGTCATTTGTGATCTCCGCTTCTATTTCTGTGGCTTCTTCCACAAGACGAGCTTTCTAAGCATGTTGGCATTTTTCTTCTTCAGAATATCTTCGCCAACATCGTCTGCATAAGGCGAACCTATCTTTCCCGTCCTAGGGCTATAGTTGCTGTCCATTGATCCGGATCTTTCCATAAGCTTCCCATTATTTCCGACGGAAAGCATGGCAGCAGCGGCCTCTGCAGCCTTCCTCCACTGATCAGACTGAACCTTTAGCCTCCTTAACTCGGTTTCCATTTCTGCATTGGTTGCCTGAGCTGCTTCCAGCTGCTCAGCCATTCTAGCGGTCCTCTTGTTACTCTTCTCGACTTCCTCTGTCATGTACCCAACCTTCATAAGAGCCTCCTGCTCTGCACACCTTGCTGCCTCTACTTCAGACACAACTTCATCACTTAGGTTACCCATGTTGATTTCCGTGATCTTCAACTTCAATGTTTCATTCTCCTCCATTACATATTGCAACTCTGTTTCTTTATCCATCAAATTGGCTCTCAAATTCTCCATGTCATTCTTTGATTTCTGAAGCTCCTTTTCCACTTCATATTCTCGCTGGTCTGACATCGAACTTTCAAGCCTAATTGTAAGCTGCTCATTTTCGTCACAGATACCTTGTAATTCAGTTTCCTTGTCCATCAGGTTTGCCTTCAACTCCTCAATTTCATCTTCGGATCGGCGTAGCTTAGACTCAAGCTCAGTCTCTCTCTGGCTTGATATGGACTTTATCTGTTCCATCAATTCATAAACACTTCTATTCTGTACTGCACGTCGAGATTGCTCTTCATTGTATTTTATTTCAGCTGCTTCTATAGCATGTCTTAATCGTTCAACTTCAAGTTTCATAGAAATAACCTCTGCTTCACTGGATTCTTCAGTATTTTCGTTCTCAGTTTTACTATTGTTGTCGTTTAGAGAATCACTGATACCGGACTTGAGTTTGCTAACAAGCTCTTCCAGAAAGGTAATGCGAGCTTTTGACTGGCTCAACTCAGAAGCAATAGCATCATATGTTTCAATGGCCTTGAATCCATCCGAACTAAGGCTCTCCACAGTCTTTTTTGCTGTTTCCAGTTGCATTAGTGTTTCGCCTACAAGTACTTGGGCACGAACTTCTGATTCTTTGCAGTCTCTTAGCTGTTTGTTCATATCTTCCACAATTGAAAGAGTTTCGCTGAGGTTCTCTTTTAGCTTATGGAGCTCACTCTGTGCTAATTCTGAGTTCTTCGTCTGGGTAGCTTCAGATTCTGCAACCATTTCAAGGTGCACTTTAAGCTGCTCGATCTCATTAAGGGCAGAGGTTAATGCAGTTGAATCCACTGACTGATCCTTTTTGATAGCATCAAGTTCAGATTGTAGTTCTTCAGAATTCTTACAAATCTCAATTATATGGCCTTTCTCAGAGTTCAACTGCTCCAAAAGTTGCTTCTGGGACTCTTCGAGCTCTGATGATAGGGCCAAAAGCTGCTGGTTCGATTCCTCTGCATCTTTCAGCGCTTGTTTCTTTGATGCTTCTGAAGAGAATAGCTGATCCTTGACAGTTTTTAGATCATTCTCAAGCTGAGATATCTGATGTTCAAGTTCAGCAACCTTGCTTGGACGCTTCTTCTGCAAGTTGATACAAAAAGAATATTTAAGAATTTATGAAGTAATTGATGGAAGTAAATATTCTTCAAACGCATTATCATAGAAATAAAATCGATTTTGTACTTCAAAAGAACTCGTACTGATGATCTTAACTCAACAGTCAACAAGACCTGAGAAAAATCCATGACATAAGGTCCAAACGTTGAACGAAACAACTTTGAAAGTTAATAAAAATGTCAATAACATGCTCTGTGAACCTAATCACGGAAAAAAAGGGAATAATACAGATTCAACGTGATTTCAAACAAAAATAAGATTAGCATTCAGTCTCTGATACATCATTATGCATTAGCATTCAGTCTCTGATACATCATTATGCCTTAGTCATTTTCGTTGGTTTCTAGCTATTACTCCGCACATCTGTTACAGAACTCAGGTTAGTGCAAAAAGTAGGGTATAGCCAATAATACAACACAATGGCTTTCTGACAGTCACTATATGCAACCTAAAAATCATGAAAAGGAACAATGGCCACATTAAGTTGAACAGGAGAGGAGAGCCAAATTATCTTAACCGACTTTCCAACAATACAGAACTCCAAAAAATTGAAATTCATATACCTCACCAATGTCTATTATTAATAAAATCCTTGAGGTGGAATTTATATTTTCTCATGAACTTTTACCTAATATTAAGAATGAGAAGTGATCAGGCTACGCGAAGGTATTATGCAGCAGAATTACAGATTTCATTCTTTTTTTTGGTTCCCTTTTCCATGTAAAATTAGGTATTTTGTTAGAATTTGGTTGTGACCAAAATTTTATTTGGAATTCTATTTGAAGTCTATTTAGCAAATTTTAGTTGGAATTTATATTGGACCTGAAAAGATCAAGATTTGAACCAGGGAGAAATTTTTGACGCTTTTCAAATAGTTGGCCTACCTACCACACAAGCGACCCCGTCGAAATTGTGCAGAGAGCCGGCACTGAAGTGGTGCCAACGCGCCCACTTGGCGCCCTCCTGACGCTCTAACGGTAGCTCATCCACCTGTTTTCACGTTTTGATGCGTTTTAAGCATTCTTTTCCATTTATAACTCTATCTCTAGGGTGCGAAACATCTCCTATATATATTTAGCTCTTCATTGTATTTTAGATCAAGTTAGACATTATTTGTAAACACGTCTTTGTATTCTTTCTCCATATTTTAGTGAAATCTCCTTTACTCTGCAAATTACATTATTCTTGAACGTTTACGTTTGTGATCAATTACTTCATATTGTGATTATAATCTCGTATTTTCTTTAACAAATTGGTATCAAAATAACCTGTTATCATCTTCACTTTTCAACATATTTAATATTTTATTTTGGTACCTCGGACACTGGGCTTTTGGATAGCTTGTGATCGGCAACTTTAGGACTTCTCTCTTTTGGCACCCTACTTGACAGATTCGAAGAAGCAGCAGCTTGATCTGAATCTCGTGCAGCTGTCTTCAGCTGGCGCACAACTTGAGGAGAAATCTTCCGGGACACTTCCGAGGAACCAACTCGAGGAGAGGTCCTATGAGGAACTTCAGAGGAAATAGATCGAGGAGAGGTCTTTTGTGGTGCTCCAGTAAAAGTTTTTCTGCTCCAAAAAAATGTACAGAACATTTAGCAGGAGATATCATAGATTTGGAAATAGAAGAAGAGTATAATCGATGATAATCACATGTCAACATCACTGCTAATATAACTGGACAAAACCATATAAATGACAGAAAAGTCTCTACAAATATTTTGTTGTGTACCAAAGCAGTAACAGGATATTGTATGGCTTTCAACTTGAGTGAAGAAATTCATTAAGACGAGAAATCATTAGTAATTAAGAAAGTTAAGAAAGGTATGAAATTTGAAAACATTGTAATTATCTGCAATATATCTGGTTAATGCTCATAAACCTGGACTATTTAGACAAACAAAATTTCCAGATTCATGCAAATTGTTAAAAGCACTTTCTGTTTCAACCACAGGAGCAGGAATTATAATTTCTGTCTCATCATGAACTTCATATCAATTTAGAAGGAAAGGAAAAGAAAGACAATCACATAATTATTTCAATAAATGCTTACCGTTACAGAATAGCGTTGCCCTAACGAGTGACAAAAGTCAGACTAGAGTTCAAAAATATAATTGGAGTAAAAGGAAACTTGAAGATTCTTTGATGCACTGTTGGTAGTAAATATTACATCAGAAGCAGTAGAAGTGCATAAAACAAGATGAATTTCTGTAGAAAGACATTTTTCACTAGTGAAAGATAAAGATAACCTACTACAAAAATATTAGTTAATAGACCTTTCCATCTTAAACATCTAATTTTCCTTTATTAAAAAGTACGTTCGTGTTCTTCCTCCCACCCCCTATCCAATCCCCATCTTCTCCATGCTAAGGCACCACTGCATCTCCATCCCACCTGCCCTCTTGGGGGAGGGGTTATGGTGACAGTAGCGGGGACTAGGAAGACAAAGAAGACAAGCAAAAGAAGGAACGGGGACAAAGATAAGGGTGTTTTGTGGTCATCAAATAAAAAGAAAATTAGTTTACATAATTTTGAAAAGTTAACTCTAAATCATTTTCTGTCATCAACATGGTCCTAGACAATTTCCATGTGAAACAAATATGTTACTGAATAAGCGTGAAACCTATATTTTCAACAAATCAGCTGTTCCCATTACTCGAAAGAATCATCAGGCAAGTCAAACGATAAAAATATTTAAAAAGCCAGAAAAACCGGAATTCAACGGAAAATTTTGCTGTTAAAGAATGCTTCACAGTAAAAGCTGAAAGGAAAATGAACACCCACAAATACACTCATCTGTGTCAATAGCACACCAGTTAAAGAACAATATAATCCAAGCAGTTAATTTCTAGCATAAAACATAATTTCCAATGAGGTAAAAAAACAGCACCAATTTCATTCACCCCAATATACAATTCATCTTCAAGAAAATAAAGACAAAAAGATTCACAACCAGTACACAATTTACCTGATGAACTGTTAAAAGAAGGAGAGCAACATTCATTAGAAGCAAATAAAGATTACCTTGCTTTAGGAGTCTGCATATCTAATCTTCCTTCCTGTGCACACAGTGAGATTGGGTCGTAAAGATTTTTTTCAACTTAGATGCTTTCTACCCCACAAATCCTACAAATAGACAAGCTAATTAATGTAAATAAATGCACATGAAGCATTCATTGTAACATAACTCGATCCAAACATTAAAACTGCGACATAAATAAATAGCATAATATCGGTATAATGTCTTGTCCTAATGTCTAATCAAGAAGAGTGCATAAGGGGTTATTTAATTTTTGCAGCATTGAATGCTGGATAATTTGAGGCATGCTTCATATCCAGAATTATTGTTGTCACGAGAAGGACAACGACATGGACTGGTATGATATCAAGGGAGAGTCAATTGGGGCCAATTAGAAAAATTGGTCCACCTTTTAGGGGCACTTAAGATAATGAATAAATCTAAACGGACAAATAATTAAACAATCCCACCATTTTGACCGGGATCCATGGTGCTAATGGAGGCATTTTGAGAATAGAAATTTAGAAAAATAATACAAAGAAATTGTTACAGAGAAATTTCTAAGTCAGATCAAGATTTAACTCGTGAAAATAAAGATAAAAACCAGTTGAACGCAAGTTCAAACATCAAGAAAAAAATGAGGTTTTATACATATATACTCACATGAGAGCAGGAAGAAACAGCAGTTTAGGAATGAAGAGAAAAGAAAGTGATGCAGCCAAAGGTATTTAAAAAGGAATACTTTAAGATTCGATTTTGCTTTTAAAAGAAAATCTGAAAAGTGCTGTTGCAGTTCAGGAGCTATCAAGTCCACAGCAGACCTAATTCCGCAGTTTTATACACAGAAAAAGAAAGAAAAAGTGGGGGAGAACCTTCATATTTACGCAGGGAATTAGTCATATTCCAATGCTACATTCCAAAAAGAAGTTCACAAAGTACCATCATTACATATTGTTTTCAGAACTTCAAAGTTCAAACCACACAAGAAAGTATAAAACCCAATAAAACTTCAGACCCACTGAAAACACATATAAGGGGCGAGATTTGGTAAGAAAAATGGGAAATTTCTTATTCTTCTTCTTTTACTTTGGCATTTTCGAGGAGATAGGAATGTAAAAAGAGAGGCAGAGACAATGTTTAGTTGTTCTTACCAAGAAAATCTTGAGAAGAAGAATGAGATTATCGCCGTGCTACAAGAACTTTGAACCAGAGGAAGAAGGAGAAGCCATTGTGGTTTAAAAACTCGAGTTCCGAGGCCAACTGCTACTGCTACTCTGATACATGTATTAGTTTTTCTACTGGGTGGGTGAAGGGTCTATGGCTGAAGAGCTGTCTAGACAAACATGGGATAGAGGAAGAATTGTCTCTTTATTGGAGCGGGTAGAATGGGCTAATGAGTCAAAAAAAAAAAAAAAAAAGTATATCAATTAGGTGTAAAATTGCACCATCCTAATAAATTTAGGAATGGCAAAATACTCGACCAACGTCCTGTCTCTCTCTGCCAGGGAGTGTTAAAACCAAAAAACACGTGTAGTTAGAAACATGCAGACTTACGTATTTTTTATTTAAAAAAAAAAAGGTTGTACCCAATCTTGAGGGCCTCTACGGCTCCGTCCTTGGAACATTGTGAGAGAGGTAAATTGTGGGATGTACTACAACAGATGGGAACAAGAGTTTACACGTACATTAGTGCTCACAAAGAGTCCAATTTCATATATCATGAATCGAACCCTCACACTGCGCCTGTCAGTAAAGTTGAGATTACCTCACTCTTTTCCTTTATACCACTGGATTATGACTTGGGGGGCTACATATTTTTTATTTTACATAGCGAAGAGATGGGTTAGGTTGGTATTTAGGCCTTGTTTGATTCTCATTTCTCTTAAAATACATTTTTTCTCTCTTTTCTTTTTAATCACACATTCTTCATTAAAATATTATTACACGTAAATAAAAAAAAATTTATTTACAAATTTTCCATCAATTTACTATTCTAAAATTCAACTTTCCTTTGAAATGTGTGTCAAACACTCTCCTTATGTTACACAGAATTTTACTAGAATTTGACTATCAAATAAATGTATTCGTAATCTTAAGTGACTTTACGTAATTTGAAACTCAGATTCAATCCAACAATTGAGATTTGATAAAATCAACCCGATTACAGTAAAATTAAAAATGAAATTTATCTGGGATTAACCTGCCATTGGATTGGGATTATGGAACCGTGGGACCATTTTCTGCAAGATTCTCATATTTGGTCACATGGGAGTGACGGGTGAGTTAGAATGAAGTTACGGCCACTTCAATCAATTGTATTTCACTTTCAATATTGTTTATTCGTGTCAAGATATTTTATTTTAATAATTTTTAAACTTGTGAAAATAAAAGGGTCTCATTGATTATTTATTTAGTCCATTTTTGATAGAAATTAATTTTAATTATATATTTTATAAGATTCACAACTGTTCAACTACATAATTTACTAACTTTTTTTTTTTTATAAAAGTCTATTAAAAATCTAATTTTATTCCTCCACCAAACAGAGGCTTATGGTTGGGATGATGTAAAAAAAATAAAAATAACACTCTTTAATCATTTTTTTATGAGTTTGAATTAAATAAAAGCAATTAAATGCTAAATTATTACAATTATACAAATAAATAGTAATTCAGAATCGATCATCCTTTTCATCCACCATCGTTCATTTATATAGACGAGTGGATTCAAACAATTTGTCCTAGTCATATTAAATTATAGTATTTTAACTTAAGAACTCGTGTCACTACTTGCAGAAATTCGATTGATTGGTGGGTCAACTGTGATAGATCACGATAATGTTCAGTTGTAATCCTCTTGATTGGTTGTTTTTGATGACATGCTACCAAGGGCGAATTCTTTTGTAACATAATGATGTTTTTTTATGACATTTTCCAAAATCTGATTCCGGTCTCCTTCATTTGGATGCTAGGTGAGCTTCTTTGATCGAGTTGAAAGAAAGGCCAAACTCATACAACATGAGATCTTATATCTCGATAACAACAGGGGGGGGGGGGGGGACAGGGCAAACCCCCCCGGCTCAACAACTTTTTTTTAAAGGTATTTTTTTTATTTTTTTGGATAAAAAATTAGTTTTTTATGTGTAAATTTATTTATCCACGTAGTAGCCCAGTTTTGGATCCAATCTTGCACGAGAGCAAAGTGATCGTGATTTATATTATTTATAAATAACAGGATTATATTTATTCCATTCCATTCGATGCGCTCTACTCTGACATCGACTTATTATTCCATTAAACACGTGTTTTACTCTATACGAGTCACATATTAAAACATACTTCTTCTTTTTCGATTTTATTGTTTAATTTTGCACAACAAAGTCGATAGAAGGTTGCTTTTGTGAATTTACATGGGCAAACTTATCCCTAACTCAAGCCATGCATGCGTGGTCCGTCTCCCCTCTTCCCATGTCTTTTTATATTCTCAAAAAGCTTCGTTCCATTACATCTCAAGAATAAACTCTTCGTTCCATTACAAACTTGCAAACTTCAAAAATCGAAGCATACTTAGGAATTTTGTCTTAAAAAAGAAAGATGAGAAGCAGCAACCATGTGATAGGTTTCCTCAACTTCATGACTTTGCTTCTCTCCATCCCCATCTTGGGTGGCGGCATATGGCTGAGCAGCCGCGCAAACACCACAGACTGCATGAAATTCCTGCAGTGGCCGCTCATAATCAGCGGCGCCTCCTTAATGCTCATCTCTCTGGCCGGCTTAGCCGGCGCATGCTACCGCAACACCGTCCTCATGTACGTTTATTTATGGGCCATGTTTTTTACAATAGTGGCCCTCGTAGGGTTCCTCATCTTCGCCTACGCTGTCACCGATAAGGGGTCGGGCCGGCCGGTCATGAGCCGGGCATATCAGGAGTATTACCTGCAGGACTACTCCGGGTGGCTGGAGGATCGGGTGAGTAAGCAGAGTTACTGGACTAAGATCAGTTCTTGCATTAGGGACTCCCATGCGTGTAACAAAATGGGAAGGATTGTTAGGGGTGCTCCTGAGACTGCTGACCAGTTTTACCTTAGAAAGCTCTCACCAATTGAGGTAAGAACAGTTTGAATTTTATTAGTTCATTATATTCTTGAATGATTATTATGCTGCATGCATGTAGATATGGTTTTACCCACATCTCGAATTCATTTGAGAACATATTCGAAGAAATTCTAATACCCAGTTGGAATGACTTATGGATTCCAAACATTTGTAGTAGCTGAACCTAACGAGATAACGATTAAAACATAAGAGAAGTAATAAGCACTTGGCCATGAATTGAAAATCCTTTATTTAATTGCCAATACAATTGCCAGCCTTCCATACCGAATATATAGCTTCCCCCATTTTCGAGAGCTCATTTTCACCCACATATTTCATCATTTCTTTTATCAAAATCTACTAAAAAATATAATTTTTAGCTAAGTCAAATAGTGGAATAATATCCATTTTAGTGTGTTGATGGAACATGATAGCTTACTTTTTACAACATCCTTTCTTCTTGTTGTTTAAACCAAATATCCGAATTAGAACAAATGGAAACCTGATCTCTTTTCTTAACAGTGTTTTGGTGAATTAGGTCATTACTCATTTGCATAGTTAAAGAAGATATTCAATTATTTATTTAAATCTAGTGTTTAACATGCATCTCACTTGCACGTCAGTTAACTTTTTGAATTATTCTTGGGGTAGATAACCCCTTACATAAGGGTATGGACACCCGGCGCCCCTATGTACCCCAAGAATAACCTTATTTTTTCATTCATCAAAGACCTAATACTGCACAAATTTAATAAATGTGTTGCGACGATGATTGAACTTGAACGACCCATCTAATGCTTAAACGTTAAGAATTTTCTTTTATTTATGTAACTTTAGTCTTTTGACATACCTTTAACTCTTTGTGTTTGGAACCTGTGGATATTTACATGGCATTGTTGATGGAAATCCCTTTTCTTTTACTTCTTTTTCTAGAATATACACAACTTTCAGATTTTGTCCTTTGGCTTGCTTCTTCTGAAGCAAAGGAAAGACAGAACATTTTAAGAATCTTCTTTGCTAAAGTTTATTAGCTTTATTCCCACTCAACTTTCTCTTTATTTGCTGACTAAATTTTCAGATTTTTACACTTCAGTGTTTCTTTTTCTTCTTATATTCTACTACTTCTGTCCCTTCCCCCCAACAAAAAGGCAAGAGGAATATTTTTATCCATTCATCAGAATTCGACTAATATTTTCTTGATTTTAAAATAATTATGAAATAATTCAATATAATTTTAGTCTAGCAAAGATCAATAGCCAAGTCGAGTCATCACCCATTAAAAAAAATAAAATAAAATTATATACATATTCGACATTTGCAAAAACTTTGTCCACTTTAAAGCATATTAAACAGATTTTGAAAATTAAAATTGGCACTGGTCAGTAGCACTTTTTGAATTTGCATTATGCTTATGGATGATTTATGCATTATTTTTTTCATATCATAATAATATAATTGTAGGTTGTTTCTTTCCTAAATCAGATTTTTTAGAAGATTTTGATAAAAGTTAATGGAATATTTGATTGAAAACTTGTGATTAAAAATTGATTGTTTATTTCAACTTAAATTTTAATAAGCTTTTTAGCTTAAAAAACATGGGCTAAATCTGTTTCCCTTTGGCAACATACAACTAAAATTCTTTATTGAGACATTGACAATTCTTGATTGACTTGTTTTATGTAGTCTGGATGTTGCAAGCCCCCTACAGCCTGTGGCTATGTCTACATAAACGAGACATTCTGGTACCCACCGGGAGGGCAGGTGGGGGGTGATCCGGACTGTTACCGGTGGAATAATGATCAAGATCAGCTATGTTACAGTTGTAACTCTTGTAAAGCTGGAGCGGTGGCCAGTGTGAAGACAAGTTGGAGAAAAGTAGCTGTGATCAATATTGTCCTATTAATCCTTCTCGTAATTTTTTATGTTGTTGCGTGTGCCGCTTTCCTTAATAATAAAAGGCTCGACAATGATGAACCCTATGGTGAGACACGAATGGAAAAGGCACAGCCAAGTTGGCTAAATTTGTAAGAGCTTCAGAGTGTGCTTGGCTTACAGTACTCGATAATATGTTATATGGTATAGTAGAATAAAATAAATTTCAATATATATATATATATATTTTTTCTTAGTAGTGCCAAGCGTTGTTCATTCTATCGTACCAAATATAACACAAAGAAGCTAAGAAATACATCATCGAATACCGCTATTCTCGTCAATGTTTTCATTTTCGCAAAGAGGGGATTGTTTGGTTGCCCAAAACCTAGGGTCTTTGTGGGATTTGTAAGTCTTAGTTTTCCATTTGATGGAAAACTAATTTAATTGATGTTTCTTTATTTCCTGTACTGGATTATTGTGCCTTTTGTTTTATGAATCTTTTAATCATTCAAAAAATGTTCTACACAAATTAGCATATATGTAGAAGAAACTATCTTTTGACTAAGCCAAACATTTTGTTTTGAGAAATGAAATGCAAGAAATTTTACTTTTTACTACTAACATTATTATCGTGGAAAGACATTATTTGGTTACTTTGTCAAAAAAGATTTGCTAAGAGAATTTTCAAATAAAAAAATTGTGTGTGGTGATTAGTCAACAATATAATTCCAAATTTCCATTGAATCCCAAAAAAATTGAACTCTTATCTTTTCGTAATTGTACTAAGCATGCGAGCGGGAGTGATGCAGTACACTACCTGTACTTTAAACTATTCTAGTGGTGATATAAATTTTCACGTTAAGTTCAGGTTAGGTTGAACTATAAAAATTAATTAAAATTTAAGTCAAAATTAATAATTAAATTTAATAGGATTCATAATTTTTCAAACACACATTTCATCCACTTTTTATCAAAATTTACTATTTTTTTTTGTAAATTAAACGAAGACTAAATTTGAATGGTTTCACAAAGGTTGGTGTTGACATTTATGGCCCGTTTGATTGTAAAGATGAAATTTTGGTAGAAAGAAAACAAATTCCAGTAAATTGAATTACCTAAATTTTGTTTTACTGAAAATTGTCAATTAAATATGTTTGATTGATATTGATTATACCAAAAATTGTACCTGTGATTTTTCAAGATTGAGGGTCGAGAACAAGCATGAATAGAGCCTTCCAATACCTGAAAAAAGGCAATGATGTGTGTCCTCGCCCGATGCTTAAGTTAGACGAGGAATTTATGTGAAAGTATGTACTGAAATTGTATTGTAAAAACGAATCTCAATAATGAACATTGGTCTAGTATTTATAGATGTTGGTGGTTGAGTTGTAAAAGAATTCAACAGCTTATAATCCTTATTTTGTACAGTGATTGAGTTATATCACAATTACCTTTAGGAGTTTGACTTGGATTGTACTATGTTTAATATTTGGACAAGGATGAATGATTGAGTCATAGGAGGACTAAAACATGAAAAAATTACAAGATAAGGACAAGATAATCGTTGACTTTACGTATGGCCCGACCTCATAAGCCTCAACCTAAATCCTGAAGCCTAACCTTAATTCTTGGATAATTGTGGGAGGTCGGGATCGGGCTTTTGAGTTCGAGATCGGGTGTTGCAAGAATTGTGCACATCAGGTATAATTTTTCACATGAAAATTGTTAAAATTTTTCATCTTTAGGTATTCGTTTGACTTTATTTCTTATATAAATTGTTAATTAAATGGACATAATTTGATACAATTGTAGATAAAATTTGTTCAATTTGAAAAAGAAAAAAAAAAAACTGGAAATCCAATTTTCATTAAAGTCCAAGGAAAACCAATTCCTTCAAAACATGGAAAAGGGGTCAAGTGGGGGATAATATGGAAAACCAATTCCATGAAAAAAATTTATCCATCAAACACATCATTTGGATGGAAAATGGAATTATTTTTTCTAGAATTTGTTGCCTATCAAACATGCTCTTACTCTAATTCGTAACCCAAACAAAATTCTTTAAACATTTTAGTCGTAGGTCTACTAAACAATATTAAACGAGATTACGGATAAATTTTTTTTTACTTTTATTTTTCTTTAAAAATATTACACAATATGAATAAATTATTGCTGATAAGCTTGTAAAAAAGTTATTTCAGACACGACTTGAGCACTGATTTGGAACACGAGGTGGGTTACTTAAGTAGTGGTTCAATAGTTGAATTGACGCGTCAACTTCTATTAAATACAAAAAATGTTATTTTATAATAATAAATTTTAGAGTACCTTGGATTGTCAATATTTTTTTTTTTGTAAAAAATGTCATTTTTCATTTAAATTCTTACTTTTGTGCTATTTGATTGATATTTTTTTCATGAAAAATATTTTCTTCCTTTTTGTCACATGATCATATTTTCCTTAAAATTAAGGAAAATATTTTCTCTAAAAGGAGAATGTTTTTATATTCCAAGTAATTTTTCTCTCGTCCATCTCATCTCTCTCTCTCATCTAGTCACCAAAAAAAAATGAACAAATATAACATTTTTAAGGTTGAAAATGAAATAACTCAAACACATTTAATTGACAATTTTCATGCAAATAATTGCCTAGAATTTATTCTCTTTTTCATGTAAATTCTATGCTTGCAATCCAACACACACTTACAGTGTTATTAATTCTTTACTCCAAATTTGAAGGAAACAGAAAGATTTTCAATTAACAATGATCATCTTGGTTGATTGGTTTGGTTCAACGAATTTTTATAAAAGCTCGACAGGTTTTCCCATTTTTTGGGTCTTTTGTAGATCGATCTAATTGAGCGGCCTAGATCGAGTTGATGGCTGAATAATGGATTTTCTAGTTACACTGTTGAACCGATCCAAATTATGAAATTCTAAGGAAGCGTTTTATTATCAGCATGAAATTTGTATGGAAAGAAAATAAATTTTAAATAATTCAAATGTCTAGAACTTATTTTTTTAAAAATTATTATTAAATGTGTTTGATCGATTTAATTTTTAACATAGAAAATATTATACTTATCCTTTTTTTTATTAATGGGTAGATGAGAGAAAAAAAAAAGTGAATTATCTGAAAAATAAAAATCACCATTATTTAAATAAAATCATTTTCTTGTTTTTTAGAAGAATATGGTCATATAACCAAAAGCTGAAAACTACTTTTTATGAAAAAAAAATTATCAATCAAATATAATAAAAGTAGGAATTTGGGGATAAATGACAGTTTTCATAAAAAATAAAGTCAATCAAGCATACTCTTACATTTCTCAAAATTAATATTAAAATTAAATAATAATATAAGATATTTAGTTAGTGGATTGTTACAACTACCACAATATATGTTCCAGAGCGTAGTACAAAATTAAAATAAAATGTACTACAATTGGGAAATATCAAGGCCACACCAAGTCACCTACCCTACTTCCTTTTAACATTGGTTTTTTCCAATCCAAAAACTCCCAAAAAAAATCCTCTTCAGACCAAATTGTCGATATCTTGCAAAAAGGAGAATAGGAAAATGAAAATGGTGATGCACGCAACATTATTCTTTGGCAGCACGGAGAACTTGAGCCTATATCTACTAGATTTGGTAATAGTATTTATGATGTCTCTAATTGTAGAATGTCTATCACACACGAGATTTATAAGTTCACAGAGCAACAATTGGATTGCCGGGGTGATTCAAGTGGGATTGTACGGCATTCGGATTAGCCTAGCGTATCTTGTGATGTTGGCAGTCATGATGTCCAATGCAACCTTTGTTGTAGCTGTTGCTGGTTACACCCTTGGATTCCTAATTTTTGGTAGTAGAGTTTTTGATAAATCAGATAACGAATCATATCAAAAACCTTCAGATCTTCCTCCATTAAATTGCTAGTTGCATTTGTGTAGCAAAAATATATAATTGGACTAGAGTCCCTTTTTTCTTCTTGTTTTATTTTATGACAGGTGTATCATTCAAGATATATACATATATTACCTGTAATTCTTGAAGCCCTTGTTTGGCCCCATTTTTTTTTTTTTTTTTTTTAATGTTGGGAATAATATTTTTTTTTAAGAATGTGTGATTAAAAAATAATGAAAAGCTTTCGATTTACGTGTAGTTGCATTTGTGTAGCAAGAATATATAATTGGACTAGAGTCCCTTTTTTCTTCTTGTTTTATTTTATAACAGGTGTATTATTCAAGATATATACATATATTACCTGTAATTCTTGAGGCCCTTGTTTGGCCCCATTTTTTTTTTTTTTTTTTTAATGTTTGGAATAACATTTTTTTTTTTTGGAAGAATGTGTGATTAAAAAATAATGAAAAGTTTTTGATTTACGTGTAATATTATTTTATGAAAGATTGTGTGGTTGAAAAAAAAAATGAAAGAGAATGGGGGCCAAATGGAAAATTTGATTCAAGAAGGAAGAATTTTGAAGATGATTATTGTGGAGTCATTTGCTAGTTTATGCTCTGTATCAATAATTTTTGAACTCAAATAGACTAAGCCCCTGTTTGTTTTCCATTATTTCACCATTAAAATAAAAAATATGACCGTTATTCATCATATCAAGTTACCAAATTTAAATTTCTATCTCTTGTGTGGGGTCCATAACGACTATATTTTTCATTCTTATTTTTACAAAAATGAAAAACAAACGCTCGCTAAATCTAAAATTCAATTACATTTCTACAATTCACATGCCAGCCTTTTTGAGAATTTTCTATTTATGTATTTTTATGTACGAATTTCATACATATTTTCAACAATTATATATCTCATTTTCTAACCTAAGACAAATTATGGGAAGTTAAGGGAGTTTTCATATATCTCATTTAGCATCAAACTAACATCTTGGAACCATCCTCAAGATTTGCAAGGGAAATATATGGAAATGACCTTTTCAAAAGGGTTATTTTTTCAAAATGACCCTTAGACAATTTACATACCAAAAATGCCCTCCATTTGGATATTACATAGCAAAGCATCATAATATAGAAATTTTCTATTTTAGTCCTTAAAATTAAATATTGGTTGAAATTTGATAATTTTTATTTGATTTATTTGATTAATATTTTTTTTGATTTATTTGATTTTTGCTCTAAGTAGCCTCCTTAATTGGTATCAGAGCCATAGAGATCATGGAAATTAAAATAAGAAAAATAGACAATTATTGGTATTTAGAAGAAGAAAAAAGGTAGTTATATATATTTTTAAAACCTATTCATAAGAAGTTAAAAATAATGACTTTGACAATTATTAAAGAACTTCCTAAAGAAATAAAGGAACAAATATTAGAAAGTTTAATAATAGAAAAAATAAAAGATATTTTTATATATGAAGATGAAGAAAATAATTTATATTATAAAGAAAAATATGAGTACAAGTAATAATACACATTTAAGATTAAATAAACTACTTATAAAAATGGATAAAGTACAAGAAGAAATACGATATATAATGTTAATATCAGAAGAAATGAGAATATCATAGAATAAACAATTATTAAAATTAAAATGCGAAAGACTAAAATTTGAGAGCAAATATTTCACTATAGTAAAAAAAGAATTAGTAGATCCAAAAACAGCTGAGAGAAGATTTAGAAAAATAATAAATAAAAAAGAAGATAAAAGATGCAAATTAACTTATGAGTTAGAAATAAAAAAAAAAATTAAGATGTCAATAGGTGAATATCTGGAAGAATTAAAATCATTAATAAAAATGTTAATAAATGATGTACAAGATTTGAGTAATGAAGTAAAAGAAATAAGAAACGATATAAATATATTAAAAATTGATATTAGAGAATTAAAAGAAAATAATAAGAATAAAGATAAAAAACTTATAGAAAAAGAGATGATTCGAAGAGGAAAGAAACATATAGAAAAAGAAAATATAGTAATAGAAATAGGCAGTATGGATGATAAATTTAAAAAGAATATACTGCCAAAAATACTAGAAGAGGAAGAAGAATCTAGGAAAAAATCATTAGGAAAATTAAAAGTAGAAGAAAAAGAAGATGAGTGGAGAATTAGATTTGCTAATAGAAAATTTTGATCAATTAAGCCTAACTAATATAAGTGAATATTGAGTTTTAATGAATACTGGAGGAGGACCTAATTCAGCAGGAACCTCTAAACAAGAATTACATGATACAGATAAAAGCTATGCACTTATATATAATAAATCATATAGACAATTCTATGATAAAGTAAGAGATAGATAACCACCTAAAGGAAATAAATATAAAAATATGTTTGAATTAAATGATAATTATAATAAACCAATTAATCATGGAGGAACGAAACTAAATTTAAATTGTAAAATAGATACTAAAAAAATCTTATTAACTTGGGCAGATTCAATGATGTTATTCTTTTTATATAATAAAGATGACACATGGGAAATACTGAAAGAAAAACAGATTTCTTAATGGCATCCTTTGAAAGAGATGTTAGAAATTGGTGGGAAAGAATAAACAATTATACAAAAACATTAATAAAAGAATGTACAAACAGAAATAATCAAATCAGATAGATAAGGAATAAAAAAAATTAGTGGAATATATTTCAAATGAATTTTTATGAGAAAATTGGATAAAAAAATGCTAAAAAAGAATCAATAAGAGAAAAATATAATTAGAATAAATTAATAAACTTAACAATATGTGATATGTGTAAAATTAAAGAATATACTTGTGAATTTAAAAATTACTATTATGTTCAATTTTATGTAATGAAAATCAAGAAGTACACCAAGACATGTATTATAATAAGTTACTAGGTTCATGAGGAATATATTTTAAAATAGAATTTGAAAAATATGTTTGAGATAATATTGGAATATCTAGAACTTTAGATTCAAGAATAAAATTTTTATTTGAAAGACTTGTATATATATATCAACAAAGACAATTCATGAAAAAATTAGGAAAATTAACTAAGATACGTTGTAAAGATATGAAAACCCCTTTGCAATGAGGATGTAATCCTGAAAGAATAATTAATAAAAGAAAATATAAAAATAAAAAATTTAAAAAATTTTAATAAAAAATATATAAAACTTAGAAGAAAGTATTACAAAAGAAAAAATAATTCATATAACCAACAGAAAGATAAATTGAAATTGTGAAGAAATATGTCATATAAGCCCTAATAGTGATAAAAAGAAAGTTAGAATATTACAAAAGAATATTTAGAAATAAAATGTGAATTAAGTGAAATATCAGATGTCGAAGAATATTATAATCAAAAAATATATATAAGTGAAACAGAATATGGACCAGGATCTGAATAGAGAAATTGAAAAAATAGAAAGTAATAATATAAATATACAAGAATATGAAAGAATAGAAATATATGGATTAAAAGTCACTTTTAATAATAACAAGTTTAGAAATTTGTAAAAATTATCGTTAAATTTAAAAATAGAAAAATGGGAAGTTTTTGATAGAATTTGGAAAAGAGAAAGAATAACAATAAATGAATATCACAAAATAGAAAAAATCATACATGTAAAACAATTTATGGATAACATAAATTAAATCTTTTAACAAAAAATACAGTTGATGAACTATTAACAAAGATTAGTAAAAAACAAAGTGAAAAAATTCAATATATTTATTTAACAAGAATACAAATAATATTTAAATCACTATTTAGAAAAGGGATAGATTCACCCTTAACTATAACTTTACATGGTAAAAGAATAATAAACTTAAAAGATAGTCATTTAGGAACAATAGAAGGAAATTTAGCATATCAAAAAATTATGTTTACATGTTATCCAAAAAATTGTATATCATTAAAAAATTGAAATTTTAATAAAATTTTAGGACTACATTTTAAACATCATAGGGATGATATCATGTAACCAAGTGATCAAATTATGACTATAGAATATAGAGATTTCTATACATTTACTAATTCTAATTATGATAATATTTATTCCAATAAATCATATATTGAAATTCATAAAGAATATAAAGATATTAGTAAAATAATAGATACAAATAAACAAATAAGTTTAATTCCAGAGGAATATGAATTTAATATAACAAAAAATAAACCTGAAATAATAGAACTAAATGAAGGAAAATGTTCTAATAATATTACATTTAAGGATGAAAAATTAATTAAAAGATCAAAAAGTTTTAAAATACCTAATAAAAACAAGTTAGAAGAAATCAACAAAATAAAAGAAGTAAAACTGTATAGGAATGCTGGAAACATGAAAATAGAAGGAGAATATTATAATGGAAAAGAAAATATAAATGGATCAAATATATTAATAGATACAAGAGTTAGTGAATGTTATATAATTTCGATTAGAAATAAAGGCCTAATAACTCATAAAACTGAACCATATAAGTATGTAAATTTTGATGGACAAGTACATATAACAGATTTAAAAGTGAAGGTACCAATAAAAATAGGAGGAATAGATCTTTTAGTACCATATTACATAGATAAAAGTATGGATATAAATCCCCATATACTTTTAGGAATGAGTTTTCTAAATGGATTAGAAGACTATAATATAAAAAGAGAAGGATTATATATTGTTCATAATGTACATAATGGACAAACTACATTATATAAAAAGAATTAGATGAATAATCAAATAAATTTTCCATTAGCTGTGTATATACAAATTACTATTATAGAAACAAATATAATAATTTTTGTTTTAATAGATACAGGAAGTGATATGACAATATTTAAAAGTTTTTTAATTAAATTATGGAATAATAATGGTAATATAAAAATAACTGAAGTTACAAGAAAAAATACTCAAATAATAAATAGTGCTGATAAAGTTAGTATAATTCTTGGAATAAACAAGTAACAATAAATAAAATTTATAAATATGATAAATTAGAATATGAT